TGTTTATTGTTTCTAATTGTTTTTTTGGTGGAGTCTTTAGGGTTTTCTATATACAGAATCATGTTGTCCACAAAAAGTGACAGTTTGACTTCTTCCTTCCCTATTTGGATGCCTTCTATTTCTTTCTCTTGTCTTATTGCTCTGGCTAGGACTTTCAGCACTATGTTACATAAGAGTAATGAGAGTGGACATCCTTGTTCTGATCTTAGAGAAAAAGCTTTCAGTTTTTCACCATTGAGTATGATATTAGCAGAGAATTTATAACATATGGCCTTTATTATGTTGAGATACTTCCTTCTATTCCTATTTTATTTAATGTTTTAATTGTAAATGGATGTTGTATCTTATCAGATGTTTTTTCTGCATCTATTGATAAGATCATTTGATTTTTATCCTTTCTGTTGTTAATGTGGTGTATTACATTGATTTATTTGCATATTTTGAACCATCCTTGTGCCCCTGGAATAAACTCTCCCTCCCCGCACCCCAACCCTGATCGTGATGTATTATTTTTTGACTGTTGTATTTGATTTGCTAGTATTTTGTTTAGGATTTCTGCATCTGTATTCATCAGAAATATTGGTCTGTAGGTTTTGTGTGTGTGTGTGTTATCTTTGCCAGGTTTTGATATCTGGGTTATGTTGACCTCATAGAATGTGTTAGGAAGTATTGCCTCTTCTTTAAATATTTTGGAAGAGTTTGAGAAAGGTTTTTAATCTTCTTTGAATGTTTGGTAGAATTCACTGGTGAAGCTATCTGCTCCTGGACTTTTATTTTTGGGAAGATTTTCAATGTTTTTGGAAGGTTTTTATGGTTGTTTCAATTTCTTCACTGCTGATCAGTCTATTTAGATTTTTCAGTTCTTCATGATTTAGTCTAGGAAGGTTATATATTTCTAGGAATTTATCCATTTCTTCTAGGTTATTGATTTTGGTGGCATATAGTCTTTCATAATATTCTAGCATGATCCCTTGTAAATCTGTGATGTCTGTGGTGAATTCTCCTCTCTCATTTGTTATTTTGTTTATATGGGTCTTTTCCCTTTTTTCCTTTGTGAGTCTAGCAAGGTGTTTGTCAATTTTATTAATCTTCTCAAAGAACCAGCCCTTTGTTTTATTGATTTTTTTTTATATAATCTTTTTCTCTATTTCATTTAATTCTGCTCTAATTTTTATTAATTTCCTTTCTTCTGACTTTGGGTTGTTTTTTGTTCTTGTTTTTTTTAGTACTTTAAGATGTGATGTTAGGTTATTTTCTTATTTCTTCAGATAAGTCTGTAATGATATACACTTCCCTCTTATCACTGCTTTTGCTGCATCACAGAGGTTTTGATATGTTGTATTGTCATTCTCATTTGTCTCTCTATATCTTTTGACCTCATCTTTTATTTCTTCTTTGACCCAGTCATTTTTAGTAGTATGTTGTTTAATCTCTACATATTTGTGGGTGTCTTCCTTTTTGCAGCTGATTTCTAATTTCAAGGCATCGTGGTCAGAGAATATTCTTGATATAATTTCAGTCTTCTTGAATTTGTTGATGCCAGTTTTGTGACCCAACATATGGTCTATCCTTGAGAATGTTCCATGTGCACTGCAAAAAAATGTATAATCTGATGTTCTGGGATGAAAGTTTCTGTAAATGTGATTTATGTCCATTTGGTCTAGTGTTTCATTTAAGGACAATATTACTTTATTAATTTTTGTTTGGGTTATCTGTCTAGTGCTCTCAATGTAGTATTAATATTTCCAACTATGACTGTTTTTTGATCTGTTTCTTCCTTTAGTTCTGCGAGTCATTGTTTTATATACTTTGGTGCTCCCTGGTTGAGTGCATGTATATTAAGAAGTGTTATGTTTTCTTAATGTAGTACTCCCTTTATCATTATAAAGTGTCCATCTTTGTCTCATGTTATTTTGAAATCCACTTTGTCAGTTATAAGTATGGCTACCTGCTTTTTTGTGGATGTTATTTTCTTGGAGAATAATTTTACACCCTTTTTACTTTGAATCAACCTTCGTCCTGCAGCTTAGATTTGTCTCTTGTATGCATATGACTGTTGTTTTTGGTTTTTTTTGTTTTGTTTTGGTTTGGTTATTTATTTTTATTCACTCTCCTGCTCTGTGCCTCTTTATTGGTGAATTCAGACCATTTACATTAGGGTAGTTATTGAGGTATGAGGATTTCCTATAGCCATTTTATCTTTTGTTTTCTGGTAGCTCTATGCCCGTATTGGTTCTTTTCCTTTATGTTTCTGTTTGTTGTTTTTGTTTGGTGGTATTCCATACATCTTTCCTCTGTTTACTCTTTTTTTGAAGTTATATGTCCTAGCTTAGGGATTTTTGTGTGTGGTTACCATTAAGTTTATAAAAAACAAAGTTGCATATATACTGTAGTTTTTTCCTTTTTGAGTGCATCTAATCTTCATCTTCCTTTGCCAGTTCTGAGCTTCCCCCCCCCCTTCCCTTTTATGATTTTGTTGTCACAAATTATTCCTATTTATGCTGTAAGTTTTTTGGTGGTCTTACTCATAGTATTGTGACCTTATGTTCTTTGTTTCAAGTAGAATAACTCCCTTGAGAATTTCCTACAATGAAGATTTTCTGGTGATAAAATACCTCAGCTTTTGTATGTCTGGGAACATCTTTATTTCTCCTTCATATTTAAAGGATAATTTTTCTAGATATATTATTTGTGGCTGGTAATTTTTCTCTTTTAGACATTTGAATTTTTGTTTCCACTCTCCTGGCTTGTGGAATTTCTACTGAGAAGTCAGATGAAATTCTGATGGGTTTTCCTTTGTAGGTCACTTGCTTCTTTTCCCTGTCTGCTTTGAGAATTTTTTCTTTGTCCTTAAATTTTGACAGTTTCAATACCAAGGGTCTTGGAGAGGGCCTCTTTGGATTGAGGTAACTAGGTGTTCTGTTTGCTTCTTGGATTCGAGGATCTAGTTCTTTCCATAGATCTGGGAAGTTCTCATCCACTATTTTTTTTAATAGACTCTCCATTCCATGCTTCCTCTCTTCCTCTTCCACAATACCTGTAATTCTAACATTGCTTTTTCTGATGGAGTCAGATAGGTCTCAAAGAGCTCTTTTATTTTTCTTTATTCCCAGGTCTCTCTCTTCTTCCCTCTACATCATTTCTTGATTCCTATGTTCTATATCACTAATTCTTTCCTCTATCTGGTTGGTTCTATTTTCTATGCTCAGTAGTTTACTCTTAATCTCCTTAATTGCATGCCATATTTCCAGGATTTCTGATTAGTCCTTTTTTAAAGTTTCAGTTTCCTTGATAAAATCCTCATTTTGTTCATTGATTTTTTTTTTTCGTGCCTTGAATTGCCTATCAGGATTTCTTTTATCTTGTTGATATTTTCAGAACTGCAATCTTGAAATCTCTGTCATTTATGTTACATATTTCCATGTGTTCCAGCCTGCTTTCTGGTGATTCTTCATTTTCTTGCCATCTTTGTTACTGTGGTTCTTCATGTTATTTGCTGTCCTTCTTTTTTGCATTTACTAGTATCTCTGAAGAGATCTTTCCACTATTTTTCAGTAGATAGCACAGAATTGCAAGATTTTTACTTCTGTGGTCTCCTAGTCTGGAACCTTCTTGATGAAAATATTAAAACAGTACAGCTGGGCTGCTTGGGGGTGGAGTTTGTTTTGCCCTCACTGTAATGGTGACCCCTGACCTCCATGTAGTCCCACCCCAAGCACCCCTCCTGGGAATCACAGAGGGAAACTGATTCTACTGCAACAGCTCTTGGCTCACAGATAATATACTCCTGGACCCAACTCCAAGGGCAACAGGAGGTGAGTTTTGGGAGTCCAATCATTAGCAGGACTCTGTGGTTCCATTTCTTTGTCTGAAACACCACCACCTGGCCTGACAGTGGGGTGTCACACAGAAGAACCCTGTGTTCTGTCAGGCATCTGCTGACTCAGACACTGTTCACTCTCTTACTGCTCACTGCTCACCCTGCTGGGCTGTCCCCTTCCCCACTGTAACTCTGTTCCTCCTGTGCGATTAAGAGAAATGCCTGGTAACTCTGGCTTTCTCCCCTCTCCCAGCCAACCCATGAGTTCCTGGCTGCAGGACAGCATCTATGGTCTGTCTGTGCTTTCCTCCCTTCTGGTCTTTCCATTTATTCAAGGTTGCCCACCTTTAGATGTTTAAGTGTGTGGGTTTCTCAGGTGTGCGTCTGTGTTGTGGAGGGATTTCTTTGTTGATTTATAGTTGGTAAACTTGTTGAAATCTCGGGGAAAGGAAAAGATTTGCCTTTATGCCTCCATTCCTCTGATGCCACTCTCACCTTTCTTAAAGGTTCCTTACTTTGTTGTTTAACACGTCATGTAAATTTTACTCATCTCATTTGTTTTCCTGTCTTCTGGAGTAGAACCAAATCTTCTTAATACAGCAAATGCATATTATAGCACAGAATATTTTTGGTCCTTGAATATGAGCTCTGAATTAGTTTGGATTTTTCTGAACCAGAGAAAGATAGTTTCTGATTATTTGCTTACCATAGCCATCCATAGCTTGAGAAATGGACACTTCTGAATTTGGTTGACCTGGAATTTAATCCTTGCAGGGGTAAAAACCACATGTTTTTAGTGTTACATATAACTCTCTATCTTCTGGCCTTCACACAAGATGTACTGAGTAGCTGGTAGATGTTAGACATGTTTGGATATAGGTGCTGGATGATTGCCAGATCTTAAAGCCTAGAAAGTGGAAAGAGTGTACTAGATCCTAGAAAGATCTAAATGGTCTATTCCCCACCCCACCCGACCTCCAAATAGTGATTTTCTCATGTCTCCTTGCATGAACAGAATGCTCCCTCCTCTCTTTTTGTTTCCATGGATTGTTCTTTCTTTGAGGAATTCTGTAGGAAGCAGCAGTATAAATAATTGAATATGTATAGACATTGCTCCCTCCCACCAGCCCCTTCCTCAACCCATCTCTGGAAAAGTAAAGAACACAATGGCCCTATTTGGTTGATTTTATTTCCATTTTTTATTGAAAGCTTCATCAAATAAAACAGAAGTTTAAACCTAACATCCACTGATCTACAGAAAGCCCAAGGAATGGGGGAAATGGTAGCCAGTTTGACTGTGGTACAGATGAAAATATTAAAAATAAAACCAGAAACACCATAGAATTACAGAACTTTCCATGACAGAGACAGCAGTACAAAATGCTCTTAAATTAAGTTCAAAATTAAATGATGATCTAGAAGTTCCATGAAGTCAAATATGGCCTGAAACAAGGGTTTTAATAGAAGCTGTCCCCCCCCCTTTTTTTTAAAGAAACTGAATATTTCATAGCAAGAACACTTTTACCTATATATTTTTGAATTAATATTCCAATTCTTCTTTTTAAGGAAATGAAAGCATTGATTTTCAGAATGGAGAAAACTTTTTCAAGTGTCTTTTTGAAATAGTATTTACAGTTCCTGAAAAGTATGGAATAACTCCTTTTTTATATATGAGGGAATAGCATTTAGGGAGGACAGAGCATCTTAATAATCTAAGACCAGAGGGCCTAAAATAAAAAGTGTAACAGTAAAGTTACACTTTGGACACTATTTAAATTTGAAATGATTATTTAAATAAATCCACTGGAATGTCAAGGTCATTCAGCCTTAACACATTAATGCAAAGTTAAAAAAAATTTTTTTTTTTTTTGCATGAAAGATTTAAGATGGGGATAAGTGTGTATTTAACTAAGAGCGGTTATATTTTCATAACTGAATTTTGAGTTGACCTTTTCTACTGGTTCAAGTTTCAAAGGTGAACGAAACCGAAACAGCTTTCTTTTGAGGGAAGCCAAATTCTTGGCTACAGTTTTTTTGTGTTGTTTTTTTTTTTTCTTCTTTTCTTTATGTTCTGCAAGAATACAGTCAACTCTCAATTATTTGTGGTGGATGGGAAAGGGACACCATGGGTAATAAAAAAAATCAATGCTATATAATGCTCTGACATTAATTTTTACAAATGATTTCAAACTCCTTCAATAAACCAATACTTAACAAAGAGCAAAATAGACTAATTTGAATTTTACTTCCAATTGTTTCTTTTTCCACCCTCAGGGTGGCATGTTAAAAAAAAACAAACAAAAAAAACACCAAAAAACAAAAAAAAACACTCGAGCCCCAAGTCCTAATAGTTGAAAAGAAAATATAAAAGAAATGCACAAAGTAGATAATTAGCCCTTCAAAAATTGAGAGTGATTGTATTTCTGTAAGATTTCGTCATGGGGTGGTTATTAACTAGAGTGAATAAAAGGGAAGGAAAGTGTGACTCAGTGGCCTAGTGGTCCTTCCTGCAGATTCCAAGCTTGATCTCATTTCTGCTTCAGCTTTTACGCTTCTGAGGGAAAGAAGCATTTCTTGAAACATCATTTTTCCTCCCCAAAATACAAAGAAATGAATATTGAGAAGCCATCCATCCTGTGTGTGTGTGTGTGTGTGTGTGAGAGAGAGAGAGAGAGAGAGAGAGAGAGAGAGAGAGAGAGAGAGAGAGAGAGAGAGAGAGAGAGAGAGAGAGGATGAATATGTATATGTATTGGGGTATATAACCAACGATAAAAGAGGTCAATCTGGGGTGAGTTCCCTACCCTGTATCATAAACGATTTTGGGGGCCACTCAGGGATCTTACATTTAGCTTTTGTACTTTCCTGAACTATGTAATCTACAAAGGACAGCCATGACCAAGAGCATTTGGATGAAAAGACTAATTACATATTTAAATATATTTGGTGGAATTTATTAAATTTGAGTTAGACTCAACTGTCCTCCACTGCCACAGTGGATGTCATTTGTAAAATGAATTGATTCATTAATGAAATGCCACTATCACTGTGCCACAGGAAGGGGATAGTGTACAGAATCAATGAGCCTGTTTCAATTACATCAGTCCCTCGGATTGCAGTGAGAGGCTGTCAGTCCCAGCGAGCTCCAAATTTGGAAGCATGCCAGCCACAATAACGAAAACAAAATCTCATCTTTCACTCCCTACTGTGGACAAGATAATACAGATCAAGGGCTCCATGACATGTTTTAACTTTATTTTGAAGTGACCCTCAAAAGTGCTGAATGTTGTACTACACATACACAAATATTATCCTTTCATATCACATAAAAACATTTATCACTGAAACCCACTTAAGAATTTTCCTCTGCTTATCAGCTCATCTGCAGAGGTTTGTGTGCTCAAATGAAGCATGAGATTCAATTGTCAAATGTATTTTTAGTCTCCTACTAACATTATAATCTGTCTAGACAGCACATTGAAACTTCTCAATCATGAAAAAGACTGCAAAAGTCCTATTTAAATCAAATCTCACTTTTCACTAATGGAGATTTTAGATCACTGTAAAAGGTACATAGGTATTTGATGGCATCCCAATTATTCAAATCAAGTTTTTTGGGGAAAGACTAGGTTGGTTTTTTTTTTGGTCACACATTCATTGAAAATAATTTTAAAGCAGTGTTGCAAAAGATTGATGTATTCTATAGGTACAGTGAACTTCCTATTTCCTCTATCCACCTGCTACTCTCAGCCTTCCTGCTCTAAGGTGAGTGCTTTTAACACTGTGTAGTTTTTCATTAGAAAAGACTGAAGGTGAGTCTTATATGCTGTCAAATATGGCAGATCCATTAAGGTCACAGGAAGAATTGATTCAAGTGAAGCATGGAGACAACACCTGGACAATTGGCATCTACCAAGGAAACAAACTAACCCTGACCAAACTGGAGTCAGAGGATTTTTTTTTTTGAGATTATTATGTCACTTACAATATTCAAGACATGGCAATGTTCAAGGACGGTCATCAGCCCCTGCTAGTATCACACTGAGTTCCCATGGGGTCCATGACATCTTCAGGAGACCTGGCCATGCACTGAGGAGCCCCTAGTCACGAGGCATACTTTGTCACCCCTGACAATACCTTATTATTTAAAATGAAAATAAAACCACCACCTCCTCCAGTGTTCTTGTTACTAGAGTTTGGATGAGATAGTGTTTATCCCATTTGGATTCTGGCTTTAGTTTGATTTCTAATGTTTAGGTTAAGTGTTGACAATTAAAATTGAAAGGAAAAATTGAACACCGAAATAAATGCTTGAAAACCCGGTGAACTAGAATACTTAAAAAAAATTACAGACGTAAATAGGATTAAAATAACCAACATAACTATTGTTGATTAAATTAGGATTCTGATGTCTGCATGTACTGAACACAGATTTTGGGTTGTTTTATTTTTAATACAATGTAATGCTGCTTACCTGTTGATGCTGCCCACCCCTCCCCAGACATGACTCTTAAAAAACAATTAGGTAAGATGACAGATGCAAATTTGAACATGTGCCATTTTTTCCTTCTTGACTTGAAATAAGGTATTTTATAGAATGGCATGATATAAAAAATCCAAACACAAAACACACATGGATACATAAAATTATAGGTAATTTCCTTTTGCCTGAAGTGGCTTAAAAAAAATTGAGATCATGGAAATTTCATAGTTGAAAAAAATGTTTCTGAATGTATAAATAAAGCAGTAGTTTTGAATAGAAACAGGAAGTTACCTAGGCACATTCATCAGCCACATGGTAGCTACCTCTTAGCCTCATTGTTGGTTGTGTAAATGAGACTTTCTTTGTATCACATTATTTTTTTTTTTTACAGAAACAAAAGAAAGCATGTTGGTTTCATATTCAAATGAATTATGCCCAGGATAATCCTTATTTATACAAAGAGTTCAGACAGTGAAAAAAAAGAAAGAGGAAAAATACAGTTCCCATACATATTTGCTTATACCCCCTGAAACTTAGGGGCCCACTTCTCAAAGATAAAACTTAAGTGCCGCCCTTAAAATACAGAAGAGGCTGAAGGATGGAACAGAAGGGAGTAGAAAACTAAGATTCTCTCTAAATCATGGAAAAACATAAGGATGGGTGTGACCAGTTCGAATTTCTCTGTAGCATGTTACGTTTTCTTGGATATATTTTCACCTCTAATTTGATCACAAAGATAGGGAGTCACTCTCTAAATTTGAGTTTCCAGTACATGGTGTTGCAAATAAGAGAACCAGATCTATTTCAACACTGGGCTTCTGTTTGTAGGTCATAAATAGTGAAATATTGACACTTTCATGTGAGTCAAACTCATTACCCATGTTGATATAATGGAAAAAAGATTTATCCTTTAATTTTTAAATAGTTTTTAAAAGCCAACTCTGCTTTCTTTTACAGTGCACTTAATGCATTTCCCTCTTCTTCTGGACTAAGACAGGTTCCTATGACTTAGTTTGTGAAAAGAGTTTTACTTATTTGATTCTAATGATGCATTCAAAAAGCAATTCTAGGGCATGGTCCAATGAACAAAGTTTCATTGTCCTTAGTTTCAGGTAAAACTGTATAGGTTGAATATGGATTTCATGAACCAAATATGCAGGGATGTTTGTTCCATCAATTTAATTCATTTTAGAGAAAGCTTTGCATCATTCTCAATGCAAATATATCTCCTTTGGCTTTAATGATTGATCAAACCCAATTGTTTTGGTTCTTATGAATATAAATAATAATTTCTTGATTGTCAACTAGCATTTTAAAAGCTTACCTAAATTCCACTAATAGAATCCTCAGTCTTATTGGTCCTACTTGTCTCAGAGAGTTAAACTGAAATAAAAAGGTCTATTGTCTTTCTTCTGACAATACCAGGATATGAAAATATAATGAAAAAAAAAAAAAAAGGCAAAAAGAAGCTATCCCTTCCCCACTGCAGAATCAAGGTGCCTATTGATTGTGGATGATGACAAAGACTAAGGTGCAAAGACAAAATCAAAGGTGTTGGAATTTAGAAGGAAGACTATTGTTACTAACACAATGGGACCTTTTCAGGAGACCACTCACCACTTAACAGAATATCACTATGCTTTCTTTTTTTTTTTTGGACAAGTGACTCTTCAGACCAGGTTCAGGAAGTATCTTTCATTCAAAATTCACAAAAAGAAATTTCAACCTGTTAAAAAAAGTGTCTTAACTTACTGGTGGCCATCCATATAGGTTTCACTATTCAAGGGAGCTAGCAAGGAACTGGAAAAGCTCATGGAATTGAAAGCCATTTGGCTCTATCAGTTGGTATCCAGAACTCTTCATGCTGAAACGGCTGAACACAGCAGGAGCAAGCTTCTACTAACAACAAATATTAAAAATAATTTTTTTTGCAGTATGTAAAACACCAGTGGAAGGTAGTTTAAACAAACAACAAAGTAAGAACTGGTCCGGCCATGTAGGTCAAATAAAAATTTTTAACGAAAAGTAAAGAAAAATGACCTCTATTTTCTGGACTGCAATAGGGTGCCACTTCATCTTTGGTATAAAATAGGCCATCCATAGGCTGAATTTGATCACAACTAGGAAAGACTACAGAAATTGTCAACAATTTCTCTATCTATTGCTTTTTTTTTGTATTTTTTTGTTTGTTTTGTTTTGCACTTTTGACCATAAGCTCCTATCTACTTAAGATTTTTGTGTTTTTTTTTTAATGCTCTTAAGCTAGGTTTTGCAATGTGACAAGCAAAGCTGACTAAAAACTTTGTAAAGCTCATAAAAAAGACTGCAGATAAAAAGCACTAATGCTTTTGCTAGCAATCACGCTTTGTAAATTAAAAAAATCTGCATTCTGCCCCCCAAACACGCATTATTTCTAATGCAGTTGTTTTTTAAACCAACCTTAATAACTTTACCATAAAATGTTTTAGCCTTCTAGAATGGGTCAACACTTAAGACAAAGTTCATGAAAAGTCCCAGCATTTTTCCAATTCTTGCAGTTGCCATGGTTTCTTTTATCAACAAATTTTCTTCAAATGAAGAAAAACATTTTCTTTTAAACTGTACAGTTTTTTCACCCTAAAAACTCAAGAGTCTTAAGCTTCTGTACCAGTTAAAGCTGGCACAATATTTCAATTCTTTCTTGATTTTTTAACAAGACGTTGACAGCTTGCCTCGAGAGCCTTTGACGTCCTTAAAATTAAGGCAATTAAGATTCAAGATAAACCTTACCTAAATATTTCTAAGAAAAAATAAAAAAACAACCCACATTTAAACAAGAAGGAAAAAAAAATAAAGAGTAGCTTAATTACCGAGGAAGACAATTTCTTTCCATTTCTGCTTGCCCACCTCTTGACATCCGATTTTCTATTAAAAAGAAAAAAAAATCTATCTACACCTTCAGGTCAATTCTGACTTCAAATGTTCTTCCAGATCAATTGTCAACCTTCCATGTTTTGTTTTTGTTGTTTTTCCTCTTCTGGTTTTTTTTTTGTTTTTTTTTTTTTACTTTAATTTAAAAAATGATGGCAAAAATAAACTGTCAGACCACATGAAGGACCCATTTGCACAGCACACAAAACGCTTTGTTTTCGTTGGGTAAAGTACAAAATTAAAAAAGAAAAAAGCATTCCATTGACGCCTGTGCAAACTGGAAGCCAACTTCTTGTTCAATGAAGTCTCTTCATTCAAGGCAAAGTTTCAGACGGACATTCTTCAGTCTTGTTTATGGTCTGTGAAAACAATTGAGTAAGAGTGGTTATGACATCAAAGCAACTTTGAAACCTTCTATGCTCTTTTCCAGTGAGACCTCTTAAAAGATACCAAGTTCTTTAAAAATAACAGTCATCAGTGAAGTTGTAAAAGCATATTGGGCCGATTCAAGTGTCTAATTCTGCCACTTTCACATGAATATATATTTGAGCCAGAAAGTGTGTTCACATTAAATATTAAGGTCAAGAATATCTTTCAATTCTAAAGTCATAAATATTATAAATATACCCAGATAAAAAATACTCCTCTTGGGGAATGAAATCTATTTTTTGTTGCCTGGCTTATGTTGTAACTCCCCCAGAAATGCTGTTAAGTAATTCTATTACTTCAGAACTTCCATGGGATTCATCATTCACTCAGTCAACAAATGGGTGAGTCCCTACTATGTACCAAGATAAAGCAATGGGTTGTATGCTATCCATGGTGTTCACCAAGTATGTTCACATTAGCTTTATTGTCCCAGGTAGCTAAGTAAGGCAGTTAAGAGGGCCAGGGAGTTTTGTTCACTTTCCCTCTTCTTCTCTTGTTCCTTGCTCATTTATCTCATCAAGTAGTCAAATTCTTCCCCCCCCCCCAATTAATTATTTAATTATTATGTAATTTATTCAAAGTTATCTAATCAATAATAAATCTAGAGGTAAGTTCTAGTTGATTCCAGTGTTATTTCTACTAGTTGCTACACTGTAATTAAACTGACATTTAACCATGATTTTATTCATTTCTGTTGTCCAATACAGAAAACACAGACATCTTTACTGGACACACTTAAAACCAGTTATCAGAAATGTGATCCTAAAGCAGCTGCTTCACAAAAGATATCTCAAAACTTCACATCAGTTGAACACGGCAAACCCAAAGATAAGAGAGACAATCTGGACATCTGCCAAAAGTACTTCATCTGCAGTATTTACCAAAGGTAGGTTGGTAAAATTTCAAGATACAGTATTTTTTTTTTAATTAAAAAAGACAGTTCTGGTGTTACATACCAATTTCTTGAAAGTTTCAATTTTGTGTGTGAGAGCAACATGAATTGTTTTTTTTGTCACTGTCCACAACTTAATGGCATCTTGGCAGCTTTCGTAACTTCCTAGCTTTAACCAACGCATAGATCCCTGATGTGGGAAATCTGGTTCTGAGTTGACATTTTCTTGTGTCACCCTAGTTACCTCCCTTTGTTGTTTATTCCACATCATCCTGGTGCTGGATTCTTTACTGAGCAGTCAGCCCTCCTGAAGCAGGTGCTGCTAGCAAAGTAGCTCAATTCTAGCTGCCTTCCACATGTTCAGTTAATCCATGGAATTCATTCAACCTTTCATGATAAATGGCAGTGTAGAATGCTCTACTTTTTAAAAAAAATCTATTTACTTATTTTAAGAACCTTTATTGTTGAAAGTATTACATATGTCCTGTTTTTTTCTCCCATTGACCCCTTATAGCCCACCACCACCCTACTGTCTGTGTCCATGGGTTATGCATATATACATACAAGTTCTTTGGTTGATCTCTTCCCATACACCCACCCTCCCCCACCTTCCCTCTGAGATTTGACAGTCTTTTCCATGCAACTATATCTCTGGACCTATTTTGTTCAATAGGTTATTTTGTTCATTAGATTTCATATATGAGTGAGATCATGTGATACTTGTCTTTCTTTGATTGGCTTATTTCACTTAGCATGATACTCTCCAGGTCCCTCCGTGCTGTCTCAAAGGTAAGAGATCTGCCGAAACCGGTTTGGCTCAGTGGATAGAGTGTCGGCCTGCGGACTGAAAGGTCCCAGGTTCGATTCCGGTCAAGGGTATGTACCTGGGTTGCGGGCACATCCCCAGTAGGAGATGTGCAGGAGGCAGCTGATCGATGTTTCTCTCTCATCGATGTTTCTAACTCTCTATCTCTCTCCCTTCCTCTCTGTAAAAAAATCAATAAAATATATATATATATATATATATATATATATATATATATATATATTTTAAAAAAGGTAAGAGATCCTTCCTTTTTACTGATGCATACTATCCCATGGTGTAAATGTACCACAACTTGTTTATATCTTCCTGATGGGCACTTGGGCTGTTTCCAGATCTTAGCTATTGTAAATTGTGCCGCTGTGATCTAGGGGTGCATATATCCTTTTTGGTAAGTGTTTTGAGTCTCTTAGGATATATTCCTAGAAGTGGGATCACTGGGTGAAATGGCAGTTCCATATTTAATTTTTCTATGTACGATATCATGTAATTTGTGAATAATGACAGTTTAACTTCCGCTTTTCCAATTTGGATGCCTTTTATTTCTTGTCTGATCGCTATGGCCAGGACTTCCAGAACTATGTCTAACAGGAGTGTTGAAATGGACATCCCTGTCTTGTTTCTGTTCTTAGGGAAAATGGTCATAGTTTTTGCCCATTGAGTATGAAGTTGGCTGTAGATTTGTCATATATGGCCTTTAGTATGTTGAGGTATGATCTCTCTATTCCCACTTAACTGAGTTTTATCAAAAATAGGTGTTAGATTTTGTTGAGTGCTTTTTCTGCACCGATTGATATGATCATGTGATTTTTGTCTTTCATTTGTTTATGTGATGTATCACGTTTATTGACTGGTGAATATTGTACCAGCCTTGCATCCCTGGAATAAATCCTATTTGGTTATGGTCTATGATCTTTTTAATATATTGCTCGATTCAGTTTGCTAATATTTTGTTGAAGATTTTAGCATCTATGTTCATCAGGGATATCAGCCTGTAGTTCTTTCTTTGTAGTGTCTTTAGCTGGTTTTGGAATTAGGGGAAAGCTAGCCTCATAAAAAGAGCTTGGATGTGTTCCTTTCTCTTGGATTTTTTTGGAATAGTTTGAGGAGGGCAGGTGTTAGTTCTTTGAATGTTTGGTTAAACTCCCATGTGAAACTGTCTGGACAAGGCCTTTTATTAGCTGGGAGTTTTTTGATTACTGCTCCAGTTTTCTCAATTGTTATTGGTCTATTCGTGTTTTCTAATTCTTCCCAATTCGGTTTTGGAAGATTCTATTTTTCTAGGCATTTGTCCATTTCACCCACATTGCCCAGCTTGTTGGCATATAGTTGTTCCTTTGTATTTACGTAATGTCAGTTGTTACTTCACTGCTTTTGTTTCTAATTTTAATTATTTGGGTCCTCTTTCTTTGTTTCTTGATGAGTCTGGCCAAAGGTTCATCAATCTTGTTTATCTTTTCAAAGAACCAGCTCTTGGTTTAATCTTTTGTACGTTTTTGTTTTGTTTTGTTTTTTTGTCTGTCATTTATTTCTGCTCTAATCTTTATTATTTCCTTCCTTCTACTCATTCTGGGCTTTTCTTGTCCTCTTTCTATACCTTTAAGTTGTAGGGTTAAATAGCTTATTATTTTTGTTTTTTTGAGGTAGGCCTGTAGTGCTATAAACGTCCCTCTCAGGGCTTTTGCTGTGTCCCTAGGCTTTGATTATTGTGCGTTCATTTTCATTTGTTTCCAGGAAGTTTTTTCTTTCTTTCTTGATCTCATTGGTAACCTGTTCATTATTTAATATCATGCTATTTAGCCTCCATATGTTTTTACTGTAGTTGATTTCTAATTTCTTTCTATTGTGATATGAGAAGATCATATATATATATATATATAATTGATTTGAGAGAGGAAGGGAGAGAGGGAGAGAGAGAATCATTGATTGGCTGCCTCCTGCATGCCCCCTACTGGGGATCAAGCCTGCAACCCAGGCATGTGCCCTTGGCCGTAATCAAACCTGGAACCCTTCAGTCCACAAGCTGACTCTCTATCCATTGAGCTAAACCAGCTAGGGCTCAGGGACGATATTTTATTTTTTACTTTATACTTTCTAGAAAACTGGCAGAGTGGTGTGCACATAATAGGTGTTTAATGCCTAGACAAATGTCACTTTTACTATATGCCACTTTGCCTAGCCCAGCCCAAATAATGTCTTTTGCTGCTGCTCTGTCTGTATTGCAGGGTTGAGCTTATAGTGGGTTGACTTTTACTCTTAGCTTTCCACCCACAGATTAGAATTTTGCTAAAGAATATCGGAAGTGTGCTAATAAAAAAGACTCTTTAAAGTATCTGGAAGTCACCTGTATGTAGGTGAAGGCCTCTTCCCTTAGTGCTTTGCAGGTTCTTCTGATGCCCCATTGCTTAATTTAGTAGAGGAAGCACAGGGATGTTGGATATGGTTTTACATGTTGTTTACCTTACAGATGCATGGCTGAGGGATCACAGTGGGGCTAAGTTCCAGCCATTAGTCTGTTCTTCAACCTATGTACTCTGGTGCATGGCTGCATTCAACCCAAGCAAGCGGGCCTTACTCAAACTGACAAAAAGGCCTCAACCATGATTTAAACTATATGACAGCCTGGAATGACCCAGAGGGGTTGCTTTTCCTAATTTGCAAAATGCCCTCATATGAATCTGCTATGGCTCTTAGAATCCAGACTAACTTGTACCTAGAATCATGTGAGGAAAACGACTAGTTGATAAATTGAATAGAGCCATTTTTAACCAATAGTTTAAGGCTCTTGAAATGCATTTTTTTCTGAGTTATGCAATTAAAATTTTCACAATAGCAGCAACAATAAGGGAAATTTTCATAGTAGTAGTTATGGAACCAAGGTGTATATTTGATCTTTCTATGTACCTTGCAAAGTGTAGATTTACTCCATTCATCTCTAGAAACCTATCTTGCATGGTTTTGTGTTTTATTTTTTGCATCTATACTTTGCTCCTACTCCCATCTTCAATCCCAGTATTATTATCCATCAAGCAGAAAATGCCTGAAACAGCACGAATCTCTATGAGAGCTGCTCAATGAACAGTGTCTTCCTACACAGACTTGAAACTCCCTCACGGCTCAGGTATGTCATGTGCACAGGTCCTGAAGCATCCATATTTATAAGCTATGCTGGAGCTATTGCCAAGTTTTATAACCTTACACAAATGCTTCTAATA